ACCAAAAGCTGCCTCGTCTGTTTATCTTCATCTTTACTCTGTTTCTTGCTTCTTTTCTTCCGCTATGTTGCAAAATCAAGAAAAGTCTTTGGGCACAGACATCAAATAATGGAATAGTAATTGTAAGCAAGCCACTTCAAAATTTCCTCCTTTTTTGTCTTTGGAGTTTCTGACATACTTGATCAAACGGAAAAAAAAATTTTTAGTTGGACCATTTACAGTTTAATAATAACAGTACAAAGCTGATCAGTTTGCATGAGGATTAAAATTCACCAAATACTTAGATTTCCTTTTGGAGTAATTGTGTATCAAATCAAAATTTCAATTCCCTCAAATATGCATTTGAACAATATGATTTCAGAGGCAAAGGGATCAAACATGTCAAAAAAACTCAAATATGAGGGAGGAAATTGCAACCAAAAGCTTGAACAACAAAACTTGTTAAAGCTAAGACATCGAAACTAACATCTTGTTGCTTGCATGAGTATCATCAAGTTTTCTGTATAATTTATATGTACCATCGACTGCATAGAGCACGTAACAAATTTATTTTTTCGATAGAAAAATAAAATTTCACGTATGAAACCATCTCCCTACGTGAGGAGCATCGTGCAATCAAGCCTGATGAGCTAGAAATTGAGCTCATAATTTACTACTAACAAATTTCATTCAATGGGTCGGAGGGAGTAGCAAAATCCAAGCACCGGAGAGAAAACATTCTCTCTTATGCGTAATGTGACAAATGTTAGCTGCTAATGCAATAATGGAGATTAAGATGATTGTCTCAGTCAAACTCTGAAGTGAAGAGAATGTAAGTATTATATCGTATATCCCCTGCAACGTTGTGCTCTGTACCTGTTCCGTAAAAAAAAAAAGTCAAATTTCAAGAAGGGTTTCTGCTGGCTAAATCTGTAGCTAACTGGAGAAGCTTTATCAGGGGAGGGTAGTACAAAACAGCAATGGATAGTAGGAAGATTAGAGAACCAAAAAGCTACTAGTCTTTGACTAATACATGTTTCAATTTCACCCCAACGAAATACGCGTAATGACTTCTTGTTCTTCTCGGCTATTTTTCGTGGCCATGAACCGCTGCAATGAATGATCTGTCTCTTTCTCTTTTTTCCCTCTTGTTTTGTGAAGTTTCGCTCAGAAGAAAAGAAAAAAAAAACAGAAAGTTTGAAGTTTCAACAAATGAAATGAAACAGAGCGGATAATGAGGACTAGAAACTCATCTCCCTGCAGCACTAATAATTGCTCAATCAACAGCTTAAACATGACAAACTCTGGATTGCGGTGACAACAACACAGTACATGTCAAATGTAGATTTGGAAGATGCAGTTAATTTTGACTTCGCTTTTTATTTAACTTGATTTTCAATGTCGAGCCTCTAGAAAATTGATGAGGTTGAAGGTCAAGATTTTCTACCGACGGGATGCTAAAAAAGATTTGGACGCTAGAATTAGACTCTTTCAGAAGAGAAGAAAGTCCAACCCAGCGATCCTGGTCATGATTGCTATGTCAAAACCCAACAGATATATTCAATTTTCTTGCTTTTTAGGTATGTACACCTTTATCCAATTTTGTTCAGATTGAAATTGGTAGAGACATGCCTTGAATTATCTACCCGGAGGGAAGGAAAAGAGTGACATATCTTACCATTAAAATTCACTAAATTTCCAATCCGTGTTCTTTGCCTTTAAGAAATAAAACTACTCCCTAAATGAAAAGACAGAAGAGAAAAGAAGAAGCAAGAACTGGAGCTTTTAAGGCGAAAATTATAACTCACTTAAGGCCAAGCTTAGCCGGCCGGCAGTAGCCGAAGGCAAAAATAGGGAGATGGGAATCCAGAATAAAAACGAAAGGGTTAGTGTGGCCAGCAACTTTAAGTTTTCTTTAAACCTCTTTCAATAGGTATTAACACAAAGAAAAGTATTCTTTTGACTTTAATGACGATTGGTTGTTTGCAACGATTTTCACAATCCACGCACAAGTTCTTCAACGGCAACTATTCAAATGTAGATTGAATGTGCCATTCGTCTTTCCATATCATATTTATCTCCAACGAATACAAGTAATCTTCAAATGTTAAAACATTCAAAGTAAAGTTTTGCAGCTTGTATAGCCACTAGTATAGGCTAAACATCGTTGGAAAAGAAATTTCAGGAGGATGCTTTTTGCTGTTCCAAAGGGTCTAGTAACATGTGCAGATTAACATATATAATTATATTTGTAATCAATCAAATTAAGGGTTTTTTTAGGGTACAATGGCTTATTGAAAAGCAATTCGCCAATAAAGCTTTTAATAAAAAAGCTTATTAAGGGCTTTTAAGAATATTATTTGGATATATAGCTCAGTAAATACTTATTGCATTAAATAATGCATAATTTGAAAATTCTAAATATATTTATCCATTTATTTAGTTCATAATATAGGATAAAATGATTGAATTTAATGTTTTATTTTTTAAAACACAAAAGCTATTATAAAAACATCAAATCCGGACTTTTGTTAAAAGTGCTTTTAATACCAAAAGTTTCATTCCTACTTTTATGGGATGGTATTCATGAAGCGTTTCAAAAGCACTTTCAGTAACTAAAAATGCTCTTTTATCAAAATCGCTGCAACTCCGAATGAGGCTAAGACTAGTTCTAGTGTCACTTGCATTTTTCTGAAATACTTATAAAATGCATAATCCGAGTGACAAATTGTGTCATTGCCGGTATCGAAGTAGACATTAATTCAGATTGCGGCACGTAATCTAGCTAAAACCTGGTCCGTGTCTACACGTATAGAACCAGTAAAAAGTACCTAAACAATTAGTCAAGAAGCATGCACTTGCACTCAAAACACTATAAATAGTACGTAGTATTTGTTGCAGTCCACAGCATCACAGCATCCTTGATTAACAAGTTGCTTCAGTATCAGCTATGAAGACTTCATTTTCTGCATTCACAGCTATTCTCTCCCTCTCCCTCCTCCTCTTCCTCTCCCTGCCATCTCCATCTCTAGCTGCCGCGAAATGCAACGCGGACGACAAGAAGGCCCTTCTACAAATCAAAGCAGGCCTGAACAACCCCTATTACTTGGCCTCATGGAATCCAAACACTGACTGTTGTTCATGGTATGCTTTGGACTGTGACTCAAAAACTGGCCGTGTCATTCATATCACCATCTTCGATGACAACAAAGTCTCGGCTCAAATTCCGGCTGCTATCGGCAACCTTCCGTATCTGGAGATGCTAGATATGAATAGACTCCCAAATCTTGTTGGTCCAATCCCATCTTCCATTTCCCGCCTGACTCGTCTCAATTTCCTTAGACTGAAATCGAATGGGCTATCAGGGCCAGTTCCTTCCTTCCTTGGCCAGATCAAGTCCCTGACTTTCTTGGACTTGTCATTCAATAAGTTCTCTGGTTCAATCCCTCCTTCACTTACTCAATTGAACTTGCAAGGCTTCGATGTCAGCCATAACAACCTCTGTGGTCAGATTCCGCAAGGTGGGAAGTTGCAGAGCTTCGCTTCCTCAGCATATGATCATAACAAATGCTTGTGTGGTTCTCCTCTTCCTGCCTGCTAAGTTTCCAGTGACTCTGGGAGTTGAGGAAAGGAACATTTGGCTTACCCAAAAAATATCCATCCCACATTGATTGCACTGCCACATGTTCACTTACTTTCCGGTTGTTGCTCAAGAGTTATAGTTATTATTATTACTATTTAAATAAGATGTCGGCATGAAGTTAATAACTAAAACATTTGTATCCAGTTCTGTGTCATGTATAATATGATCCTTGGAATAAAATTTGTTCCACCAGAAGTGGAATGTTGTATGAAAATTCTCGTATCTGGGAATTGAATTCCTTAGGCTGATTAGTATATGGGGAGTGAATTTTTTAAAAATTGCAATTGAGCCTTCAATTCACAGCATGTCTATGATGCAGTGAAAATTTAAAAAAAAAAAAAAAAAAGTTCTTGAAATGTCTATGCTTTTACCCTCAATGAATGTAAGTTTAATTACCTTAAATTTTCAAGATGTCTTTGCAGTTGCACAGTCGAAACTAAAAAGAAATTATAACTCTCTTCAAAGCTCCATTACCAACATTAACCTAGGCTGTCAGGATTAATACAAAATTAAGGACTTCAAGTGTTGTTTTGTTGGTGAATTTTAACGAGTCCTCAGATGCACATAAAGAATGACACTCGAGGAATTGAGAACAATTCATGATGATTGCTCGAATATTCGTGGTACACCTGGAAGGTTCTTTTACATTTTTTTTTTAATAGAAAAGATCATTTTATTTAATAAATCTGCAGACAATACATCAATTAAAAAAAATATGTCGCAGATACATATAAATCTAAAATCAATAGATATAAAAGATCTAAGAAATCGATATAAATTAAAAAAAAAACATTGATTCTCCTACATATTTTCTATCCGAAAAAATCATTATTGTAACCCAATACATCCTAGCATGTCTTTTGATAGTCATATCTGATTAAAATAAATTCAAGTTTTAAAAAAAAAAAATTAGGTTTGACAATCATCGAAAAATTGCAGATCTAGGGAATCTGTGGCCCTGAATAACTTTCCACGTTACTCTTCTTTTAATTCAATGAATAGCTTAGGGAAACGAATAGAACCATCTAAAAGATGTAACACCTGCCTGCTAAAGCTAAACTTACTTTATATCCATCCTTATCTATTTGCTCTCCTCATTTAATAATACTAATGTTCATTGTTGTAAAAAAGAGAAACACTTGGAGACCCCCCTTATCCTTTGTGATCACCCTGTACACAAATCTAATCACAGGTCATACTCAATTACTTAGCTACATTCACATTTGGTTCACTGATTGCAGTGAGTAAACACTCTTATTTCAGAATTAGGAGGTCTAAGAAAACAATTTTTAGATCCCTAATGCATTGTTTCAGAGTTAGTTAAATAGCAGTAACTGTTTAGGTTTATCACACTTGCAGTAAAAGATCACATATCCCATTATCGAAAATAGAGTTTATTTTTATGCCATATAATACATGAGATACAATCTTGCCATGAAATTATTATTATTTCTCAGTTTCGTGTGGAAACTGCAAAAGCAAACCTGACATGAAATAAGTACATTAAATATCATGACAACTGTTTATTTTTTTTTAACAAATCCCTGCTTCCTCTGTCCCAATTTTCTGAAAATCACTTGCAGGCAGGAAGAGGGGCACCACACAAACATCTGTTATGGAAATAAGAATACAAGTCGAAGCTTTGCAGCTTCCCACCTTGCGGAATCTGGCCACACAGCCTGTTATAACTCACATTAAAGAACTGCAGACCCAAATTAGTGAAGCTCTGTGGAAGACTCCCAAAGATTTTGTTATGGTTCAAGTCCAAATATATCAAGTTCTCCGAAAACTCCACCTTGGAAAGATCAAACACGAACAAATTCCTCGACAAATCAACAAATTGCACGGTCTTGTTCTTGCCAAACAAGAATGACGCATCACCTTCGAGCTTGTTGCGTGACAAGTCAATCCTCAGTGAGAAGTTTAAGCCACCAAAAGACCTTGGAATTGTGCCTGTGAGCATGTTGTGGGAAAGATAAATATCAGGAACACTATTTCCAAATGCGAAGTTCCCGAACGATTCAGGGATGTTTCCGGTGAGTCTGTTGCGGTCTAGGTGAAGTGCAAGGAGGTTAGGGAGCTCAGAAAGCGAAGGAGGGATGGAACCAGTGAAGTTATTGAATGACAAGTCCAAGAAAGTCAGGGCCTTGATCTGGCTAAGGAAGGAAGGAACTGGCCCTGAGAGATGATTCCAGCTAAGTCGGAGGAATGTTAGATGAACGAGCTTGGTAACGGTAGATGGGATTTCGCCAGTAAGATTTGTAAGCTTACGAAACTCCAAGTTTTGGAGATATGGGAGGTCGCCAACAGCAGGTGGGATTTGGCCGGAGATGTTGCCTGCAAAGATGGTGAGAGCAATGACACGGCCAGTATTTCGATCACATTCCAAAGCATACCATTCACAACAGTCAACTTTAGGATCCCATGAGGCCAAATGGTAGGGATTGTTTAGGTCAGCTTTGATTTTCAGGAGGACCTTCTTATCATGTGAGTTGCACTTGGGATGCGCACAGAAAGAAGGAGATGGTAGAGACAGAAAAAGGAGGCATAAGAAGGCGAGAAGGGCTGCTGATGAATAAGAAGATGAATTCTTCATTGTTCTGATTAATTTGGCTATTGTTACAGTATAATACTTGATCAAGCAACTTATTATTCGTGATCGTGACTGCAAATTAGTGTAGCATAGATATAGTAATAATAGTACCAGTGCAGGGCTTTGCTTAGTTGATTGCTTGTGATTTTACTCAACTTTTTCTTTTCTGGGACAGATTACAGGGAGAATACATTCTAGCAAGGTTGCTTGTTGACTGATTTAGATTTAAGTACAAGTAAAGCCGTAGTTTAATGAGAATAATGCAATTTATATATATCTAGTACAAGCTAGAATGCAATATTTTATGCTTTCAATTTGAAATCATGATGTACAGCACAACAAATTAGACCTTTTGTAGCGGTGCCGACAAAGCATATTCTTTTTTTTCAATTGAAAGGCTGATTGTGCAATAATTGGATTAATGATGTTAGTCAGTCAACACGTGCAAGTTGAATTATCTCAACTCTCTCTCTCTCAATTAATATTGCCAATGATCAATTCAAGGATGATCAATTCTTTCTTTTTTTTTTTTTTGTATCATTGGCCTTTATTTTTGGGCTAATAATACTTTTCCCCCCTAAGCTTTGGGGGTCGCACGCCTTACCATCTTCAGCCTTGAAAATATACTGCATTTTACCCTCCAAGAAGACCAGTCAAAGTTAGAAACCAAAAAAAAAAAAAAAGGGAGTGATATGGCAAATCTAAAGGTTGTGTAAAACTTATAAGGGAAGTCAAAATTGGTTGCATTTACAAATCTATAAATTTCCTAGGAGAAATTTCTTGGTCAAATCGTTTCATGCAATTATTACAATACAAGTTGTATCTTCAAGTTTCAGCGTAGTTAACTTACCATCATATCTTTTAATTTATGCCACAAATAAAAAAAAAAAAGTTTGCCATGTGGTTCGGCATTAATTCAAGTGCTAACAAGAATACACGATAAACAGTTAAACAAATGTAAGTAAATCTGAAAATCAAGTATAACAATTTTTAGATAGCTACAATAACATTATTATCGACAGCTAAATTAGCAATTTGTGATTAAGACAATCAGAACTAAATTATCATCACCATTCTTTTTTGGTAGGAAAGATATATATAATATAGGGTTAAAAGTAAAAAAGTCCCCTGTGATATACCTAATATCTCATATTTTAAACTAAATTGTAAACTAATAGAATTCGTTAAACTTAATGGAATCCGAGATACCTCATGTTTTAAACTAAATTATAAACTAATAGAATTTATTAAATTTAATAAAATTCAAGGGACTTTTTTGTATATTAAATATATCACAGGAGACTTTTTATTTTTAACTCTATAATATATAATGAGAAATGTCGGTTAACGTTTACAGAACGAGGTAAGCAAAAGCTCCTACAGTCAGTCATCTTCTAATAATCTCTAGAAATTGAAATGGGTTTAAAAAGACAAGACAAGACAAGGACGTAAACTCTTCATCAGCTGTTGCATCCAATTTTGCCAGAAAGTCCGCACACCGTTTTGATAAGAATTGATATCATGACTGACCTGTTCAAGAATTTCAATACTGTCACCTGAGATCCAAGCAAGGTCGATCTACACTAAGAGACAGCTGGAGAAGCTTCATTTAGGGAAGGGGCAAAACGTCACATGTCATGAATACAACCAGTCAAGCACAGGAAGATAAGATAATCCAAAAAGGTAATACCATTTTTTAACTTATCGATTTGTTTCATCCTTTTGAATGGAAACTGGAAACCAACAAGTCATAGACCTGTAGGGACGTCTCATCACATGCAAGGTTCCAATATATATATATATATATATATATATATGTCGGTATATATCACACGCATGTTAGTCTAGATCGGGACGGTGATTCCACAAACGGAGCCATATATGTTTTTAGGAAGTTGGGATTTTAGCAAAATTTTCTAACTTTAGCAAGATCAATAAATAATTACATATTTCCATGTGATTTGACTCGGAACGTCTGGCATATGGCTATGTGGCGTAAACTTGGAGTAGTATGCAAATAATAGTGCGTTTGGATAGAACTTTATCCAAATGTCAGTGGGTGTCTCTCCATTTCAATGGGGAGGTGATCTCTCCATTTCAGTGGGTGTCTGGGGGGTCTTTACTTCTTAGCAGCGGGGCACCCCTGTGGGGTTTCTATCCCACATCGGTTCGGGGGGGTTTGGGGTTTGGGTTTATTAAGATCTGCGGGAGCCTTCAAAAGTTGCCGGCTTTTGAAGGTTTCTCGCAGGTCAACTTTAGTAACGAAAAAGTCTGAGTTTCTCAGTCATCGGAAAAAGGATAGAACTTTATCCAAATGTCATTTGTTTATATAGAAACATACATTTTCATCTTTTCAGTTATCTCTTTTTATCTGAGTTACATCACATCAAAAAAAATATAGTAAAATTATCTGAGTTTCCAGTTACCTTTTCATCTTTTCAGTTACCTTTTTATCTGAGTTTCATGGCTTTGTTTGGATAGTGAAATTATTCTAAATAATATTTCGCTTGCATCATAAACACATTTTCCAACCAGCCTTTTTATAATTTCAATTACTTTTTTATGTCATATACATCACATCACAAAAGTGTTACAGTAATTATTTCAAATTGTATTCTATCCAAACAAAATTACTCCAAATAACATTTCAAATAAACGTTAGGCCTTGAGATGAGGCCAACATTCTCTCTTCCTAAACTTATTTTACATAAATAAACCAAACAAATAAATGAATAAATAAAAGTATTAGTATCAAAAGGAAACATAGACAAAAATTTGTTTTCTAAAAAAAAAATGAAAATTTAGGCTATGCTTGGATTGCTTGTTTCCGTCGGAAAATATTGTCGTTTTCCGTGATCACATTTCCCTATCACCTTTTTCCCTCACATATATCAAATCGCTACAGTAATTTTTTCATGAAAAATGACGTAAAATGCAATCCAAACACAACCTTATGTCATGCATGACGTTAATTGTTTGCGATCGTTAATGTCCATTTTTCCTTGAGTTCACAAGATTAATTATGACCTAATTTTACTGATACGGACTCATTGTAACTGTCTAAAAAATGCTTTATTTTTAGATTTAAATTAGTGATTGTTGATAATTCCACCTTTGCATGAATGATGTGAAACATCTTTTATTTTTTTGTCGGATACAATAGACCTACACTATTCTATACTAGGGGGAGGAGGGACCTGAAGAGGTTCTGGGATAACTCGGAGGTGATTGAACTATCACCGGATCATACGAGTGTACTACGCACCCGTATGGATTTTTGTTCAACAAGTCCATATGTTGTGGCAATTGGTGGGAGGCAAGGTTTGAACCCTTGACCTCCTAGTCCACCAAGTCTTAATGTTTTGGTGGTGACCACCAGCCCAAAATCTGGTGGTTGAATAACGTGAGCCCCACGATTTGAAGCTAACTGTGTGCGGTCAATAAAGCTATCCAAAAAACATTTATGGTTCTTAATTAAGGTACCTGTTATAGATATCTCTAGTAATTTTGTTTATTGTTTTTATTTTTTTTGAAGAATTATCATATTTTATTCCCATATTTATTTTTTGGTAGCCCTCATGTTTTATTCTTTACTTGTTTTTGGTCGTTTTGTACTTATAAATAGGTTTAGTTGTAATATATTCTTATCAAGTTTTGACATATTTATCTTAAAAACTTTGTGTCAGTTGATTTACCAACGATTTTTTGTTGGTTGATTTATCAACGATTGTTTGATTGCGCTTGAAACTTCTTTTTCTAAGATTCTTTTTTAAATTTGTCATGAATATTGTTCATATTACGCTTTCTGGATATGTGTTTTGAGTTTTTATTAACTATGAATGGTGACGTGGGGGGAGAGATTGTTTGAGTGGTATAGGAGGAGAGAATGTGAATGTGAAATCTGGATTTAAAAGTTTCCACTTATACTGAAAAAAGGAAAAAAAGAATGACAGCGTGTCACGACAAGCACAACATAAAGAAAAAGGAAAAAAAATTAACACCCTTCTCAAGAGTATCAATATAGGCATGTTAGTGGTTTTAAAATAATCACCGACAGTTGCTTTGAAAGGTGAAATTGAGCTCCAGCTTCCGGGGATTAGGGAAAGTTATTTCCACTGTTCTAGAACTTCTGATAATGGTTTTGTTTCAGTTTTGATTACTGTTTCAATTCCTTCTAATTACATTAATCACTTATGATTATAAGATAATATGACAATGAATTTGAAATAAAAGAAACTAAAGACACAAATTTTAAAGAAAAGTAAACTTTATTTTCAAGTTATTTTAGGAGAGTGGAGGGTAGAGGATACGGGTGTGGCGCTGGCAATTATTTAGAGTGTGTTACTATAAACTTGTATATGAAAACTCGGATGTCAAAAACTCACTAATCCGAACTGACTCAGATTACCCTGCAATTCTTTTTTATTTTTATGCCATTTTCATATTGTCTGCGACGCAAATATAGCGATGAAGAGACAGTAAATAAAACATACTATCAAAATGTAGTAGAGTAGTTTTTGTTGCGTTGATAGTGAGGCAACTGCAAGGACGCAGGGGTAGTTGTTTACTAACATTATCTCACCTCCGCTTCTTCAAGTTAACTTCAATCCTCAGCTTATATTTGCATACATATTAAACATACAAATTCTAACATATAAACCGCAATCCAAATACATCTTATTCTCGGATGCAACATAATGAAAGGCTAGATGACTGATGTCATTTGATGTCCCTGCCATGGATTTCTCAGAAATCACTTGCAGGCAGGAAGAGGAGCACCACACAGACATCTGTTGTGGAAATAATTATAGCTGTCGAAGCTTTGCAGCTTCCCACCTTGCGGAATCTGTCCACAAAGCCTGTTGTAACTCACATTGAAGAACTGCAAGTTCAATTCAGTCAATCCAACTGGTAGACTGCCGAAGATCTTGTTATGGTTCAAGTCCAAATTCGTCAAGCTGTCTGGAAATTCCACCTTGGAAAGATCAAACTCAAACAAATTCCTCGACAAATCAACAAATTGTATTGTCTTGTTCTTGCCAAACAAGAATGATGCGTCACCTTCAAGCTTGTTGCGTGAAAAGTCAATCTGAATAGAGAAATTCACGTTGCCTAAGGACTTTGGAACAGGGCCACTTAGCATGTTGTGAGACAGAAACAGATCAGGACTATTTCCAGCGAACCTTCCAAAGGAATCTGGGATACTTCCGGTGAGTTTGTTGCGATCCAGGTGGAGGTCTAGGAGGTTAGGGAGCTCAGAAAG